AAGGGAAAATAAAACTAAATTTTCAGAACAATAGATTAAATACAACAAATTTGACAGGCGATATGCAAAATAGAAAAAGACAAAATTATTCGTACAGGAGAAATTTTAAATTGATTGATTCGTATAAGTAATTTACATAATTATTTTGTCGGTGACGCTTTATTTATTCACTAGAATATTGTTGATAATTCCAGCAAAGAACATCACGTGGTGCATAGAGTGTCACTGCTTTTATTCTTACCTTAACAACACGATGGGGAAGATACAGGTGCTTAGCTTTGACTTGAGACAGAATTATTAACTTCCACAAGACAGCAATCCTTTACAGCTATATTTCAAACCGATTAACTATCCCTATATCTGCGGTACAGTCCGTTGTAAAGAAGTTTAAACAGTTTGGCGTGACAGAGAATTTGCCTGGGCGGGAAAAAAAACCCCAAATATCACCGAGAACTGCACAAAAACTGTCGCGAGGTTAATATAAAGCCAAGAATTGTTTTGAAAGACATTGTCAAAAGTTTTGGATACGATGGGTATCAGCGTAAGTAAACCGACCACAACGAACCCCTCTTCACAAACCATTTCACATTGTTGTTCGGTTTAATTTTGCCCAAACGTTCTTGTATAAAGAAAATTGCTTTGGGGAACAAGTACTATGGAGGAGTGATATAACAAAAATTGAGCTTTTGGACATAATGATGTACAGAATATTTGGTGCAAGAAGGTTTTCCACCCAAGGAACACAGTGTCAACATTAAAACATGGAGTCGGTTCGATGTTGTTTTAGCTCAAGAGGTACTGGATAATTAACTGCAATAACAAGAATGATGATATCTGCAGTCAATATCAAAATTCTAGATGAAAAAAATCTTCAGTTTGGTCGGCGATTTACTTTCCAGCAAGGACAAAATTATTCGTACAGGAGAAAGTATAATTTTTAAATTGATTGAGACGTGTTAGTATCAATAATTTACATAATTATTTTATCGGTGAAGCCTTCTAAACTATTTATTTAGTAGACTATTTGTGATAATTCCAGCAAAGAATATCACGTGTTGCATAGAGTGTCACCATTTTTATTCTTCCATTAACAACACGATGGTGAAGACAAAGGAGCTTAGTGTTGACTAGAGACATTGAATTATTAACTTCTACAGGTCGGGATATAGTTATAGCCCTATGTCAAACCGGGTTAGCTATCCATAGAGATCTACGTTATAAAGAAATTTGGCACGACAGAGAATATGCCTCAGCGTGGGAAAAAAAAAACAAATTGTCACCAAGAACTGCATGTGTCTGAGGTTAATATAAACCCAAGAGTTGTTTTGAAAGACGTCGACAAAAGTTTGGATACAATGGGTATCAGTGTAAATACTCGCACAATACGTTGTTTAAATAGAAATGAGTTGTATGTAAACCAACCATGACGAACCTCTCTTCACAAATCATGTCACATTGTTGCTCGGTTTTATTTTTGAACAAAGAAAATTGCTTTTAGGAACAAGTACTATGGAGTGATGAAACAAAAAATGAGCTTTTTGGACATAATGATGTATAGAAGATTTGGCACAATAAAGGTGAGACTTTCCTCCCAAAGAACACGGTGGCAATATCAAAACATGGAAGTGACTCGATGATGTTTGGGGTTGGTTTTAGCTCAAGGGGGACTGGACAATTAATTGCAATAAGAGGAATAATGAAATCTGCAGATTATATAAAAATTCTGGATGAAAATCTACAACTATCAGCGCAAAATCTTCCTCTCGGTCGGCGATTTACTTTCAAGCAAGATAATAATCCCAAATATACGTCCAAATCAGTGATTACGTGACTTCAAAAAAGATAACAGGTCTGCCATGGTCTTCAATGTGTCCTGACTTGACTATGGCAAGAATTGAAATTTTGAATAAATCATCGGTCACCAAAAAACCTTTTGGATTTGAACGTGTAAAATCCCAGAAAAAAAACTTCATCAAATTTCATCAAAAACGATTGCAGCAAGTTATAAAGATGAAAGGCCATGCGATTGACTATTAATAATTTGAAAATTGTTCATTTTTTTTTCTATTTTTCATATTGTACGAATAATTTTGTCTTTTATTATTTTGAATAATTCGCCTGTCAAATTTGTTGTATTTCATCTATTATTCTGAATATTGTGTTTTATATTCCTTTTTTGGTGCTTATTAACATATAAAAACTGACATCATACGGGCATTAGATTCTCAGAAATGGAAAAAAATATTTGAAATTGTTGAGTGTAATAATAATAATAATAACAAGCGGCGTCAGTCTGTTTCATACTTGAACGAAATCGTCATGGCATGTTCTTTTTGTTTTTTGGCTTGATTATTTATATATGTTGGTCAATGTTGCTTTATGAGTAGCAAGGTCTAGTGTATTAACCTATCGGTTATTAGGCAGGCGATAACGGTTATGTTTCAAATTATTCTATAGACTATTGACTATAGCAGGCCACTCGTATTCGAGGATACCCGTCTAGCCAATCCCTATTGCAGACGCTTGCTCAGGCGCATATGTGTTTATTCAACACCCAAAGAATCCACCTGTAGTTTACACTGCAACTATGCTGAGCAGACCTTAGTTACAGTTTCTGGGAAAGAGCGTGTTATCTAGCGTGATCAGCAATTTGAACAAGGCCAGCTATCTCGCAGCTATCGACGGCACCCAAAGGTTCCGTGTACCCAATTTCACTTACTATTCTATCGGGCGCCATTTAGGCTAGTATATATACATAGCGTTTATAAGAATAATAAAAAAAATGTCGGAATAAAAGAATCCATTACAATGAATTTATTTGTGTTTATTGTACGAAAATTATCTTAAGTCGATATAAACTTCTAAATATCCCAACAAGAGATCAGCATTTTCTTAGTGTAAATGTGCCTTGCTTTGTTGTAAAGGCTTTCGTAATTTAGCTTTTCGGATTAAAAGGGAGAATACAGATTCGAGTTTTGTCGAGAAGCATATTTTCTATAATAAAGCATTTCTATAATAAAACATTTAAATGTAGACAATTCTATAATAAAACATTTCTATAATAAACATTACTATATTAAAACAATATCTATAATAAACATTTCCTATAATAAAACATTTCTAAAATAAACATTACTATATTAAAACAATATCTGTAATAAACATTTCCTATAATAAAATATTTCTAAAATAAATATAATTTAAAACATTTCCTTTAATGAAACTTTCGATCTGCAGTCTGTTAGATATTAATTTGACTACTTAAAACAATAGCAAATGCAAACCATTATTAGTTTGAAGAAATCTTTTCGTAGTACGAAACGAGTATTTTCTATTTTACCATTCAATTAATTCCTATTAATCTGATATAGATTATACCCCAGTAAACTGTTTCAGCTGGTGTGCAATAATTTTTTTACCGGTTGTCTGTGCGTTTGTGCTCGGCTGTGAGAGTGGAATGAACAAAATCCAATTCTCGAAATAACTGTTCAACAGCTTTTTATTTCTGATTGAAAAAAGTGGAAAATTGTAGTATTTTGCTGGGGAAATGTGGGATTTCCCAGTTAACAAAGTCCTTCCATTGAGTAGATATTTTGTAGAGAGAGATTCCTTCAGTTGTTCCCAGAGGAGGATCGAGAAATCTGGGTGTGAAACTGTTAGGACTGGTACAAGTCTTCTGCAGCAAGGGTTGTGTGTAGTTTTTCTTTAGCTGGGAGAGGAACGAGAAATCTGTATTCCAGCTACCAAAACAGGGCCACCTCTTTTCTGCAACAAAGGTTGAGAGTAGACCTTAGAATTAAGCTTAGAGGTTGCTGACGTTGAAAATGAAAAGTTGAAACGGGCGGGCCATGAATGTAGAGGCCACTGAAAGGCAAAATGGAGAAGAGACAAAGAAACCGGATAGGACTCAATTATTGTTTATATGACTTCAGGGACTTCCGGTTGTACCCTGCTGAGTATCTCCGTTGCTGCTGCTACTGTATCAAGCAAACATGCCAAAATACCCAACAAATGAGATAAGTTTCTATAGGCAGGCTAAGCTCAGATGACGGGGTGCCACCACTGGGCGAAGGACATCCACGACGCAGGTCACCGGCCAGGGCGGAAAGATTTCTCTGATAAACTACAATGGCCTCGTTTTCACGGCCAAGGCGAATCACCTAGTTGGAGGACATCGGTTGTGGAGATGGATGAGCTCCACCAGATTAAAACGCCCAAGACACGCCACATGATGAGAACACCAAGGATCTTTTCATGCTGTAGTATAAAACCGCGACAGATGGAGGAGAATGGTAGACAACATCCATGGCTAATGGCGAAAGAAGGAGAAATATTAGACTGCGTCATAGATTATGTCTTCTTTTCTTTATCAACTCTAGTCTTCAAAATATTTTTGAAGTACAACTATATTTTATTCATTTACATATTCACTATTATTTACAATTTACTTTGATGCATGGTTTTCATTAAAGAAAATTTCCCCGTCAAAGCTTTTTGCAGCGATCGAAAAAAAGCAATAATCTATTGCTGTAAGGTTAGGGGGGGATAGCGATACGGTGGAACAGACCAATCGAGTTCCAAAGTATTTTTTTTTTTGGGGGGCTTTTTGTTCTTGCTGTATGCGGCCTTGCGTTGCCATGGAAGAGAAAATTTTTCTGATTGACGAACGCAGGGCGCTTTTCCGCGAAATATTTATGGACACGTTGCAGTTGTTGGACATATAAATGTGAATTTACTGTTTTAATGCGTTTAAAGAACTCTAAATGAATCCCACCCCACGTACAGAAATCACTTTCTCCGACCGATCCCAGCTTTTGGTGTCGATTGTGAAGCTTTATTCTTGTCAATCCACGGCCTTTTGAGCGTTTTCACATCACGTGCAAAATTTATTGAAGGAAAAGTTAATTAGGATGATTCGTAATGAAAACTGGTCCCATAAATGGAAATTAATTATAAGCCATATTAATAAATTAGGATATAATCATAATATATATCTGAACAGCCATATATAGATAGAAACAGACTGAGATAGATAGATAGATAGATAGATAGATAGATAGTGAGTGTTAATTCGAAATACTGTTTTTGAAAACAAAATTACTGGTTTTAGTGGTTAGGGGGCATTTGAAGCAAGCAGGCTTTGTGGTAAAGTACTCAATATCGAAAATAGAGATAAAGCGTTTTCAGCAGTGTAACTCTGATCTGATGAGTGGTTATACCTATATAGACACGACACTCCGAAATAAACACGAGTTAAATGAAAAAATAATTTTTTCATATCAATTCTCTCTCTCTATACATATACATATTAAAGACATATTTTTATGTTTAACGTTGTTATTTTTTATAGATACAAGTATTTAAGCAAATGCTCTGTTTATGATAAACAGTATTAAATAACATTTACCGGCCTGAATGTCCGAGAAATTTTCATAGAAAATTTTCGTTCTTTGACAGGATTCGAACCTGCATCCTATACGGAACCGTCATATACGCTGACGTGCCTTTACCGCTTGAGCTACAAAGGACCAATCGGTAGACAAGGTCGAATTTACTGCTTATAAACCAACTTTCCATGAATCTCGTACATTCATAACTGCTCTGGCGTATCGAATGTAAACAAATGACGTCATATATTAAAAATTTAGGTCCGACAATTTATTTATTAAAGACATATTTTTATGTTTAACGTTGTTATTTTTTTATATTAAAATATGTCTTTAATAAATAAATTGTCGGACCTTGTCCATTTCTCGGACATTCAGGCCGGTAAATGTTATTTAATACTGTTTATCATAAACAGAGCATTTGCTTAAATACTTGTATCTATAAAAAATAACAACGTTAAACATAAAATATGTCTTTAATAAATAAATTGTCGGACCTTGTCCATTTCTTAATATATATATATATATATATATATATATATATATATATATATATATATAATTATTTATTTAAAAATATGATTCCAAAACGCGACATAAGAGGTCTCATGTTTCAAAACAAGAGCCGAAAACTTCAATATAATTATTTAAATTAAATTGAGTTAAAATAAGCTCTGTTCCATCTTCAAGCGAAATTTTTTTTGGAATAACGTATATCTGAAATTTGCGTGTTTTAAAAATTGAAATCAAAATTTCCATGGTAACAGCTAGGGCGAAATGTTTAAATTGGGTAGGCGGATGTTGGGTGTTAATAATAAGTATCAGTATAGAGTTACTTTCATAGATGTCAAGTCAGAGAAAGGTAGGGGTGTCTAAATTTGAAACGGAAGTGTATTAACCCTCGTCTAGTTTGCATGTCTATGGAGATTATTTATTTTTTTATTTTATTTTTTTATGAAAGGGATTTGTGCATATAAAAAAAAACTGTCGTAACGTTTGTTTTTTTGACGACTTCATAAAGGGTTATCTTTTTTGTAGGGTATTTAAACTATTTATTTGGGCTATGGATTATGAAGGGTGTTATATTGTATGCATGTTTTTAGTTAATTATTCAAACCATGAATCTGATGATTGGGCTATGGATTAAACAAGTTATTATATTTTATGCTTTTTTTTAGCTATTTTTAAAAAATAATAACTAAAATACTAAGGGACTTTGGATTATTTACCTAACCAGTTCCTTCCTATTTTCTATATATTTTCACATATTATATATATATATATATATATATATATATATATACCTTATTTTAGGATATTACATCAAAAACATGTAAAAACGCTACACAAATGCAATCATGTTTCGATGCGTATCAACACATCTCATCAGACGTTAGTAAATGATTGGTGAGTAGATAATTTTTTGAGATTAAAAAACAACGAACACCCTCTTTTCACGAGAAAAAGAAGAAGAAACATTAAGAAAAAAAGGGAGGAGATAGCATCTAAGTTCAAAGTAAGGAGAGAAAAAACGCAAGTTAAGAAGCAATCATAGGTAAAAGCTCAGAACCCACAGATTATAATATTTGATAGAAATGTAAATTTGCTATAGTGTTACACATTAGACACATGCCATTTCCTATGGGAGAAAAAACGTAATTTAACATACTGTTGAGATGTTGTGAGTTTCCCGCGTGTCGGTGTATGAATTAAGACAAACACAGTTGTAGAGGAAAATACTGGTATATTCATAAACGAAATTAACAATAGAGTGATTAGTAGAACGAAGGTTGGTTAGTACGAAACAATATCCAAAGTCTATAGTCCAACGGTATGTACCGGGTAAGCTTATCTGGACTGCTCACGCTGACTCTCTCTCTCTGACGCTCTCCTCACTCTCTCCAGAGCTGACTTATATAAGAGGGACCAGTCCATTACTAGTTAGAAGGTGGGTGCGCCCCAACACATACTTAAGATATTTCAGATACTTGACAAACTACATACCCAATGAGTTTAAAAAGTTAAATTTTCTCATTTTTATAGTTGGTAAATAATATAACACTTTAAGAAATAAATGGAAAGTTTAAACAAAATAGATCGAACAAAATTATTATGAATATATAGATCAAACAAAATTCTTTAAACATATAGATGTAACAAAATTCTTTAAATATATAGATCATACAAAGCAGAATGCAACTGTTAATTAAAGGGTCTTTATATTGAGTGTTAATAAAATCAATCAATGCAAAATGTCGAAATGTTAGCCAAGCGACTATACATCTAGACTAAATATTATCGACACTACTAAAAGATTAATATAAAAATTATACTACGTCAAAATTGATCTTACTGACAGAAAGAGAAGCCTTATATGGTGCAACAAGTTTTTTTCTAAAATATAAGAAGCAATTGTCAAATTTCAAAATCTAGGAAGATTGTAGAGTATATGTTTACAATTAACCGTTAATTCAAATCTTTGATTTAATAGAGTATCCCTATTCAAGAAGCTGATAATCTGCATTTTTCCTGTAAATACTGAAAACAAGATTCATATAAAGATCTACATGTCCTTGCTAGTTTTCAAATTTTCTATTTTACTTAAGGAGTTTTATTTTCATCTTTCAACCTCCAAAATATCTTGAAAGTGAAGTATTATTTATATAAGTATTATTAGTAAAAGACGATATGTATTGATATCACCGGGTTTTGAAAGAATTCTTAGTACTACTAATATAGAACTTTTCAACCCTCTGATTTTCTATTGTAGAGATAGAATACACAAGGGATTCGGCTAAACATTTGTTTGACAATGGGCATTGGTTAGGATTCCTACAATTACATTGGTCAGTATACTTAACAGTATTATTATTTACGTACGCCCAACAGCAAATGAAATGGAAGTTGAGGGGTAAGCAATTATACGTACTTTCATCCGGGTTCGGAGAAACCCAAAATATACTTTTTAGTGTAATTACATCCCGATATGACTTCAGACCTTTAATTTAATAGCTTTTTTTTTGGTCGGGATACGTTATTACTGTAAAGTTTTCTTCTCGGCACAGCCTGCAGACACCATTACCATTACTGTAAGGCCTGACTCTTCTCAGTGTGCTCCAACTTAGGGATTTTATTATTTTTTTCTTTAATTCCTATACATGGCTGGCCAGTCTGGTAAAATTCCTATGACCTTCTAATCTGAACGATGACTTGTGGTTGCATCATCTCTTTTTGAAGCTGCCTTCTGTGCACCACGCAAACACCTTGCTCTGGGCATTTGCGTCCTTTACTTCCGCTTTTGTAAACCACTCAATCCGGTTTACAAACTCCATCCAGTGGATATTTGGCTTTATTTACATGTTTCGCTATTAACGATATCTTGATGCACGCCTTGAAATTGCTGGCGTTTTGTCGTTTTATTGGAGTTTCCAAATTGCTCGTACAACTGTAACTTAACTGATATATATATATAAAGGGAACATTGAAGTCAACACTCAGAGGCGACAGGTTGTTTCATGCTAGAATCGTCAGGCCTGACGATTGCGTCTAGCATGAAAGAGCCTCTGAGTGTTGACTTCAATGTTCACACACACACACACACGCACACACACACACACACACACAAATATATATATATATATATATATATATATCGAGAGAAAGAGAGAGAGTAGAGCGCTTGTTTTGGTTAGAATGTTCGCTCACCGAGTAGTGTCCAAATCTGACGATGGTCGATGTCAAGAAAGTGACTTCTTAGTATTATCGGTCTGAGAAGGCGATGACTGCCTGTGACTCATTTGGAAATCTATAACTCATGTTGACTCAAGAATTATGCATTAAATTTATTGGACTGAATTCTTCAGAAGTCGACGATGGCTGCACAATCACAGCGTCGCAAGTCATCGTGACCGAGTGTTTGAGCGCATTGGTATTATTTAAAATCTGCTGATTATGACAGATCATGCTCTCTCTCCCAGAAACTGTAACTAATGCTTAACCATAAGAAATCACAGTTTGGCTCATTCGGTGCTAAAAAAATACAAATGTGCCTGAGAAGGTGTCTGAAGCAGGGACTAGCTAGATGCCTTAATAGAAAGCAGTGCTCGGAAAAAGAGTAGATAGTTTACGAACAGTCTGAAATGCACAGACAGATAGATAGATAGCTATATATGAACAGACTTAGAGATAGATAGATAGATAGATAGATAGATAGATAGATAGATAGATAGATATGAAGCAAAATGGGATAGATAGATAGATAGATAGATAGATAGATAGATAGATAGATAGATTATGAAATAGATATTAATGGGGTGATATAGATATAAAAACAATGAGATAGCTAAATAAATAGGTAAGAAAAAGCCTGAAATAGATATGTGTATGTGTGTTTGTGCGTGTGTATGTGCATGTGTGTGTAGAGAGATATGTAGATAGATACTGAAATTGACCTGAATAGTGTGAGACAGATATGAACAATTTGAGATAGATAGATAGATAGATAGATAGGAACAGACTGAGATAGATAGATAGATAGATAGATAGATAGATAGATAGATAGATAGATAGATAGATAGATAGGAACAAACTGAGATGGATAGCTAGCTAGCTAGCTAGATAGGTAGATAGATATGAACAGAATGAGATAGATAGATAGATAGATAGATAGATAGATAGATAGATAGAATGAACAGACTGATAGATAGATAGATAGATAGATAGATAGATAGATAGATAGATAGATAGATAGGAACAAACTGTGATGGATAGCTAGCTAGCTAGCTAGATAGGTAGATAGATATGAACAGAATGAGATAGATAGATAGATAGATAGGAACAAACTGAGATGGATAGCTAGCTAGCTAGCTAGCTAGATAGATAGATAGATATGAACAGAATGAGATAGATAGATAGATAGATAGATAGATAGATAGATAGATAGATAGATAGATATGAACAGAATGAGATAGATAGATAGATAGATATGAACAGAATGAGATAGATAGATAGATAGATAGATAGGCAGGCAGGCAGGCAGGCAGGATCTTATGGTATGAAAAAAATCAAATAGAGGATTTCGAGAAGTGTCGTATTGATTTATTGAGTGGGACGCCTTCATTTCTCTGAACATTCAAGACATTTTCCCTGAAATGACCTTTGATATTTCTTGTGTTGATTGATGAGACAAGATTTATGTATCATTTTGTAAGCGTGCAACCTGTCAGCGCCATAATGTGTTTCAAATCACGATGGCACCTGCTTTTTATTGTAAGGCGATCAGTTGAAATGTCTGCCTTTATAATCTACCGAGAATCGAGCGTGGTTTTTCTCTCTTCCCCTCTCTCTTTCTTTCTCTTCCTTTCTCTTTCTTTCACCTTTCTCTCACAAACCCTCATTCACCTCTCTCTCACCATCTTACTCCACTCTTTCTCACAAGCACTCCCATTATTCTTTCTGTCTCTCTCATACAAGTTCTGCCTCACACATATTTTAAAATAACCCTCACTCCTTCTCTCTCTCTCACACACAGACACTCTTTTGCTATATTTCTCTTTTTTTTATTTCACATTCAATCACTTTTTACATACACTCTCTCTCAAGCACACCTAGACACACACTCTTTCTTAATCATACACACCCTCTCTCTTTCTCTCAAACACTCTCTAACTTTGATACAGTACTTCGCTGTTTTACACACACACATTTTCATACCCATTGAACTCTCTCACACATTCCTTTCATTTACATTCTCTCTCATACAGGTCACACATACGCTCGTACGCAGACACACACACTCTCTCTCTCTCTCTCTCTCTCTCTCTCTCTCTCTCTCTCTCTCTCTATTTAGTTGCCCACAAATCGAGAATCACAATTTTTATGGCTTCAAACTGTTGTCGAATTCCCCGATGAAAATCTAACTAATCCTGTTCTGTGGCATATGGGTTAACATCTGGACATTGCCCGTGTGGGGAGGATAATTATTCTTTCGAAAACTTTGATAATAAAACGAACTGACTCAAGGGCTAAAATCATACTTATTATAAAACCCAGGTTGTGTGTGTGCGTGTGTGTGTGTGAGTGTCGGTTCGTTTATATATTGGATCGGATTTCCTACATTTTTCAACCGATTTCAACAAAACTTCACAGGACTACGTAAAATTACCTTGCGGTGGTTCTGACAGCGCCCAAAATTGGAAAAACACAATTGTTTTTGCATGAAATCAATTTGAAAACACGATTAAGAGGCATCGCGAGAATGAAAGGGGGACAACTCATATCGAGTTATACTTATTATAAAACCCAGGTTGTTTGTGTGTGTTCGTTTATCTATGGGATCGGGTTTCCTACATTTCTCAACCGATTTCAACAAAACTTCCCTTTTTTTTGGCAGGTAGTGTTTCTTACTGTCTTGCACACTTTTTTCTTCATTTTTACATTCAGAATGCTTTAAAAATTCCATTTACAACACAATTGTTTATAATAAAATTCTATTCAATCAGTAGACTCATAACGATTGAAAACAATGTTTTTGTTTGAGTTTGGGTTTGACCAAATCGTAAAAAAAAAACTAATTAAGACATGTGTGTCCGTCAACCTTAAACAATAATCTTTGTCAATTTTATTTTTCAGTCTTTATGATGGTCGATATTTGATCTATCGCTTACTGTTACATCCCTGGGCAACGCCGGGCTCTACTGCTAGTAAATAATATATTTATCTATTTTCTTTTGATTAATGAGTCAGTGGTTTGGAATTCGGCGTAGCAAAAGTTCGTTAACAAAGCGAATATTGATAGCAGTCTGAAGAAATGTCTCTTTCGTCCGTTGGAAGTTAATCCAATGATAGGGATAGTAGTAATATCAGAAATTAGGTCAGATTTCAATATGCTGTGTTTTCATTAGGTCTTGAACATAGCAGAAATCTAAGTAGCCGATAACGTCTTAACTGTTTTTTTTCTTGGTATCGTTCTGGTCTCCTCTCTCTTCTGTGTGTCCCATATGTCTTTTTGTCAAGGATGTGTGGTCTTTATCCTTGTTGACCAGGCTCAAGAAATTGGCGCGAACATCAAAAGTCTGTTTGTGTCAATTTTTTGGATTGGTTAAATTATTTTGTTTTCCGGTGTTACTTTGTTTTCCATTATTTTTTTTTTAACGGAAGTGATGCGTGGAGCCTCCCTGCTCCTTGGTATTTTTAATCATAAATAAATATGCTCTGCTCATACAAAGTTCCGGTGTTTTTAGCTGAGTTCAGTCGTTTCTTCTTCCTATTGTTAAGGGTTACCGCCTCATTAGTTCAGAGATGTATAGAAAGAGAAATTTAGAGAGAGAGAGAGAGAAAGAAAAAGAGATAAGCGTTTTAAAGGAAAGCGCAAATGCCTTATTTTAATTTGATTTTTTTATTTTTGTTTATATATTTTATTTTTATATTTTCATTTTTTCCATAGTAGGTAATGTATCTTCTATATTGGAAACTCATGAAATCTGTGTGTACATATTTCCAAAGTTGTTCACTGTCTTGCTTTGGAATTTGGAATGTGCGCACGCATCTTTGCATAAACCAAACCTGCAGAGACGTTTATATCAGTCTCAACAATAAAACCATCACTATATATGAAAAAAATGAAGTGGGGTCTGCAATTTTAGGAGACACCAGGAAATACGAGCCTAAGAAATAACCAAATATCGATTATAAGAATAACCAAATATCAATCTGGTCGATTCACCTATGTGTATAACAGAATTGCAGCCAGTGTCTTCTGAATGCAATTTAAAAGCGTCCAATGAGACAAACATATGCGTTTCTTTAATAAACACTCAAAAGAAAATAATTTACAACATTCAAATAAGACTAAAAAGTTTTTATTCTGCTTCCAAACAAACGTTGTCATAGTGTCGTTCTAGCAAAAATCTGCGTATAATGTACGTTAACAATTTTGTCTTTTCTTGTTTTCTACTTAGATTCGGGTTTCCGTTTACTTGTAATTTTTTTTACCTTTTTCCTTCACTTCCGGTTGCCCCTTGAGTCTTGGTAGTGATATCTCCTTGCTTGGGGTGATGATCCTTACTCTGTAACCGTCTACCTCAAGTGGCTCTTGAGCCTTGTACACTGTGAATATCATTGTAAAAGATAATCTAGCGCCAAAACTGCACAACCATTTCACAATGACTCGTACTCCACGAGGAGAGAAATGATAAAATATCAAAATGAGGCTAAATTCAAAGTGAAAATAAAATCAATATATACAGACCTTGAATTTGGGAAATTGTTCATGACTTTGTGCGCCTGGGTTCAATGATCACATATTCCCTCTCTTAAAACTGACCTAAACAAATGTATCATTAAGGCTGCTACCACCATGTCTTGCCTGACAAAGAGAGCAGGAAAGAGCTGTAAGCTGATAGAAGACACCAAGGTTCAATTTTACAGAGCTTTGTCGTGAACTCCCTCTCGTACGGCTGTGAAATTGTACACTGTGGGTTGGTCAAGAACAAAACGTGTTCGATGCAAGACAAAATTCCCAGCAACACCACCCTTGAGAGGAATCGGATTCCCAGCATTTACACCCTCTTAAAACAAAATGCTTGCGCTGGTTTCTTCACGTCGTGCAAATAGACGAAGGTCAAATGCATAGGGACTTCATGTAAACAGTGATGATTCAGAGAAAGCGCTCTGAAGACAGACGCCAATTCCGTCATATGATGTCCGTAAAAGAGATCTTGGGACCACTGGAATCAACCAAGACAGATAAGAATCTATAGCCGCTGAACCATTGTACCATGGCTGTAAGCTTTATTGTTGTTGTTTAATCATTTTCTTCCCAAGGAAGGCAGGAATGCCACAGGAGGTTACAGGAAGTGAAAGTGAGAGAAAAGACCTGGTATAGGGAAGATTGAGGAAAAGACAAAAGATGAACGGGATTCAAGAAGACAGAAGATGGCGATTGACGTTGTATTTAAATTTTTGAAGATTGCATTTATTATGGAAGCAAGTAAACGGAAAAGAGCTCCACGGGCAGGAAGTGCAAGAAGAGAAAGTATTGGAGTCGAAGTGGCGGTTACATTGAACTATTTCAACAGTAAACAGGTGGGACCTAGATGCCAAACTAATAGCACGTTTAAAGTCGGGAAACCAGGGGGAAAAAGCTCATCAGAACTGGCGCCATGAAAATATTTGTAGAAAAAACAGAAAGAAGCTATGTCGCGTCGTTGAGAAAGTGACTAGAGTCGAGATGCTTGGTCAGGACTGATTACCTTCTTTGGATTTTGTCAAGAATCTCGAAATGAATTGCAAGAGCCTCAAACCAGATATGGCAACAGTGTTCAATGCATGGACGAATGGTAGATTTAGTTCCGAAAGGACTTTTTAAATGCAAAGTGACTATTTTCTCAACGGTCAAAGGTGAACAAACAAAGAAGAAAACTCCGAAGTCTAGCCAGCATCAAAAGTTGTCTCTGCAGAGTATAAGAGGAACTGCCATTCGCGAATTGGCCAATCAGGACACAACTGACGCTACAATGAAACACCATTTACAGCAAAAGTCCATAGTATCTTCATACTGACGGATGTCTAAACTGTATGATAGTGCAATTTACCAGGCAAGGGATAGAAACCAAAACGTTTCGTTCATCCCGATCTGAAACATCGGGAATATGTGTTGAGAATTAAATTAAAATAATAAAAGTAAACATTTTGTCATATTTGTGTATGAACATGTATTTTGTTCATGCATTGTATTTTATTTTAAAATAAAATAAAAATAATATATACAAGTGACAACATTTAGCATCTGTATTGATTGCTAGTTTAATTATTTTTAAATCTGTATTGATTGCTAGTTTAATTATTTTTTTAAAGACGTTTTAATTACCGTTGTTTAACGATATTAAAAGACTTCGTTATCAACGATATCAAAAGAAAATGACGAAATACTTCTGTTCCTGCAGATTAGAATCAAAACAAGATATTAATCCGTTTCCAGGTGTGACCACTTCATAAATAATACAATAACTAGCCTGAGAACATGATAAAGAAATATATATATGTATTGAGGCGTGGGGTAACATGTATATTTATTAATATATATATGTTAATATATTTTCTGTTGATACGTTATTTTTATAAATACAAATATTTAAGTAAATGATCTGTTTATAACAAACAGACTTAACAACATTTACCGGCCCGAATGGCCGAGAAATTTCATAGAAAATATGTGTCCATTGACAGGAATCGAACCTGTATCCTACACAGAAACGTCATATAGCCTGACGTGCTATACCATTTAGCTACAAGGAAGTGTCTAGTTAGCAAAGTCAAATTACTGTTTTTAAATTTAGGAGGACACATATTTTCTATGGCATATTTCGCACATTCAGGACGGCCAATATAGTTAATACTGTTTATTATTTGTGTCGATAAAAATAACTTTTAAACAGAAAATATATTAAAATAATTTTCGGTCCATTTCATAATATATATATATATATATATATATATATATATATTTTATATATATATTACATACAATAGGAATTAAAATTATCTCATAGTTATGATCATTTCACCTTATAGATTGAGATTACCTGTAAGGATTTCCAAACTGATCAAGGTAATGATGAAACAAAATGAAATGAAACCGGACCTAAAGCAAATTTTAAAACAAGGCAGAGGAAAAGAAGGGAAGAAAAACAGAAAAAAAGTAAAAATAATAAGTAAAAGAAATAGAGAAAAGACAAAAAAGGAAGAAAGAGAGGAAGAAGGTAAAGAAAGGGTATTAACGTCTAGATATGGGGATGGTAGCAGGAGACAGATACATTTAGACGTGACCTTGACTTATATTAGAATATTCACCTCGGTTTCTATCAGGAAAATAGACAGGCAATTAGGGAAGTTTTTTTTAACTAATATTACCAAATTC